GAACAGAGGGGGGGGGGAGGAGAGCAGGGGGGGGCCGTATTTTTCGTCTGTCCTAGCAGCTCGCATAGTGCATTGTTCGGTGACCAACAGAACGATTTGAATGCGAAAGGAGCAGTACCATTGGTGCGATCTTGCAGCTTAGCTGGTAGAACGTGCACTATAGAAAAGCATAGACGGGGTTCGTCCATGGGTTCGATTCCCACCGAAACCACCGAAATTTTCACAATTTCAACAGAACAATATCTGTTCCTCACGGAAAGCGTTCTGTTCCGTACGTGATGTTAGACTTTGAGATTTATTTCATTACTGAATGAAGTCCGAGAATTCAAGTGCATTTAAAAGACCTCATCGAAGAAACTACCAACAAATTCGTCCTAGCAAACAAACAGCGTGAACTCTCTGCTACTGTTTCCCATGTTAGCCTATTAAATTTGAAGCCGGTACGCTTAAACCAATGCCTGACTAATACACTAGGATGAGTATAGTGGAACATTTCGAAGCATTGTCCTGATACGTTCCCGAAGTTACTTAAAAGGAAGGTAGACTTTACAGTCGAAAATAATGTAAAATAATTCGTGTTTCAATTTTAGAATTGAAGCACCATGGTCAATAGTACCCCAATGAGCTCGACCTTCTTCAACTTGGAACGATCCAAATGCTTGATTCAACAAAATTTGTCACTTTTGTTGGGACGAAGATCAATGCCATTCGTCCCAAGATAAACCCGGCTACATATTTGCTGATTCTGTGAACAAAATCGAACAACACATTAGACCCAAATTAGGGTCATCGCGGAATAATACTAATCTCACGGAAATGAATCAATAATATTGTGTCGTACGGTAATGTTCACTCTCTCCGTCCGTCCGATCTGTAGCCTATGGCCGGTTGAACATTACTCACTGTGTATTTCATTGGTACATTCGTTTTCTTGCATTGATCAGTGTTATTTTCAGTCACAAATAAGCAACAGAGTAAAACTTGTAAATTGACTCGTGACTCGTGACTTGTGCTCAACGTCATTAAAACCCCGTGCTGCTGAAGCCGTCTTGTCCCTCTTGTTTTGGGAGGCCTGAGAGATCCATAGCCAACCGCGCGTCCTGTGTTTCGCCTAGGTAGCTTCCGCTCCTAGAACTATCATCCGCTCACGGACTTAGTGTTAGTCTGCTGTTCTCTCCTTCCCGTGTGCTACTATTGTTATTATGCTATATCCTGCCTTTTTTGCACTTCCTGTGCTCAAGTGGGACAACGTACTGTGCGACCTAATAGTAGGCAATGGATATAAGCGGAGTAAAACACAACAATTTGGCGACGTAACAATGACCAAAAATTTAAATTGATTAACAAATATATTGCGAGATTTATCTACTACCAGTTCGGTAATCTGCTCAAAGTGAATAGTGACATTAGAGTGACCGAGAAGGGACGTTCATCTCTTTTTTTGTTGTTGTGTGTTGATGTGTTGTATGTTGGTGGAACACGTTGCCTTTATTTGACGTCCACTTCTTCTCACTTCATCAGTGACACGCATCTGCATCTGTTTTGTTCTTTTTGTTTCATTTTTACTGTTTATGTGGCTCAGGAACATTTCCTTAATGCCTCAATAGACGAACACTATACTAAAATAATGAATTTGGAGTTCTTCGAGAGATTTCAATATCGATTTCAACATTATTATTTTCATTATATTCAAACTTCTTCATCTGAACATCACCTATACTTCGTCGATCAAATATGACAGGTTGATCAATACTTCACTGTGCAACCTCATACACTCATACGTCAGCACATCGATTACGGGCATTTCTATGATCGACAAAAGCTGACCTTGAAACGGATTCACAAAACCCAGTATTTGGCAGCCATGAATCCGACTGCCGGTAGTTTTACAATCACGTCTCGATTGCAACGACACTTTTGTGTGTTTGCGCTCAGTTTCCCGGATGAGAATGCAGTGCGTACAATTTATTCCACCGTGTTGAAGCAACATTTCACTCGTTTGGGCTTTCCCTTGCTTCTGGTTCGTTCGGTCGAGACCCTGGTTGATGCATGTTTGGCCGCACACAATAAAATAACTCAAGTATTTTTGCCAACCGCGGTCAAATTTCACTATGTGTTCAATCTTCGTGATTTGACTAGCATATTCCAGGTGAGTGAGATTTTCCTGGTTAATTGTGCGTTCATTACACACATCTTAGATTGAACTCACAGTTGTTGGCAGTTATTGGTATGGGA